ACCAAGAGTTGCATACGAGTAGTTTTATACGCCTTCTGTTTTCAGTTTCAAAGTGCATTCGCAAAATATGACATTGTACGATTTATCCATTACCCACGCACGGCAGATAATTGGATTTTAAATGGTTAATACCATAAACCGCTATATGCGAATGTATTAGGTGGTATAGAAGTGTTTTCTCGCAACCTAATAATACTAATCAGTTCGTTCGCTGTCGGCGGCTTTTGAGTTTTTAATTAAAAGCCGTCAATGTATTCAACAGCATTGTTACGGTCATTTTTTTCGACTTTCACCAATTTAGGTGCATTACAGTTCGAAGCGACGGGGAAAGAGGTTAATATCAAAAGTTAATAAGGAAAAGCAGAAAAACGCCAAAACGAGTGTTCCGCGGACAAAAAAGTTTTTTATTTTTGTTTTAAGCGCACAATCCCGCAGTAGACATTATGACAGAACAAGTTTTCACTAGGCTAAAGCATATCGCTTTGTCGGTAAAAAGCGTAGGAAAAATATATTGTATTCATTTACCAATAACGGATATTATTATTTCGCAAAGTTTATGCTCGAGTCAATAAGTCCGACGGCGTTATGAGTTTCTATCATTGTTGATAGGAAAATCGAGTAACAAAATATATTTCTGAACGAGCAGCTGCTGGTTCAGGCGTTTAATGTTATAAATGTAAAGATGGCAGTCGGCATGTGTGAAATTCACATATGAATTCAGTTGATTTTTAAGGAGTTTATTGACGATCCAAGATCATCCTGCACAACTCACAAAATGGCCGTTAACACGTGTACCTACCTACAATATTAAAATGTGAGCAAAAATAAGTTTTAGTAGAATTATTCTACTCCCCGATTTTAGTGTTTCTTAATTCGTTTTAAATATCATCGTGTTTGGTTTCGATAAATCCACAGACATTTTCAAAACAATTTATTATAGTTGATATTATTATTTTTGGTGTATTCATCGTTTACACATGAAGTCATCATCTCGATAAATGTAAATTCAAAAATAAGAAAAATTTGCAAAATCCTTATGACATTGGTTCGGTAATATGTATGGTAAACGGACAATAATAAATACCATGGCCACGCGCACAAATTATGTTTTCTGTCAATTATCATTGGTCCCACTGGTGATGTAACTTATTGTAATAAATGAGGTAAACTTGTCTCCAAAACGTATTATCGGTTTTACAAACTATTTTTTATCTTATCGAAGTGTACTTGCGTATCTTTATTGCATCTATTTGAGGTCTTGTAGAACCACAGGGAACGATCCGTTATGACCTACCTATCATAGAGAACGATAAATGACGTCCTATTGTCCTTTACTCTTTTATATTTTATAGTGGAAAATTTTGGATTTGATTCACGTGAACGACAAAGACGACAAAGGTTGAGCTCTAAATGCTGAGACTGAGCACTCGGCTCAGACTTCGCATTCAGCAAAAAAAAAACCCTATCCAGATTTAAGAATCTTTTAAACGCAGTACATCGCTATAAATACTCAAAAATCTAAGGCTATGAGCGATGGAAAAATTGTATTCTTACGAGCTACTACTTTACGAGGTATTTATAATATCATCCCGATACGTACTAATTTATGTTGTTAAAATCCTAATAAGTATCAAGTAAATTATGATAGGTAATTCGCTATTTTTTATGGTAGCTAAATATTGCATTAATACCTTATACTTGTATGACAAATGGTATAGAAATATTATAGTATATATGTTCTTTATAGCTCGCGGGACCAATGATTATAGTATTACGAGTAATATCTTAAAATCAAAAAAACATTTTATTAAAAGAGATCGGGTTGAATTCATCCATTTCGATGAGTTGATTGTGAAAAATTACTTTTGAATTATTGCCAGCAGAACATTAAGTTACTGAAACAAAAGCTGTCGTACCACGTGCGTATAATTTATTTTTGAAACGGCAACAACACAATATAAGAATGTGTAAGCAGCGTGTACAATGTACATACAATGTGCATACGAATATAGTATAATTGTATACTTTGGAGGATTAATTCTCTCTAAAATATTCGTATTATGAATGGCTGGTTACTGTTTGCATTGCACGGAAGTTGTTTTAAATAATATAACGAGTTTAAATTATTGTAGGTAGGTACGGCTGGTCCGTAATACGACGAGAAAAAACTCTGACGAAGATTTAAGAATATTATTGAATGAACCACACTAGTAGTACAACTTTCGATTCGATTCGTAAGCGGTAAATAACATATATTCAGGTTAATATTTGATATTTATTTGAACATTCATTGGAAATTTTACACGCATAACTACATTAATCCTTGGAATTCTCGGTAAAAAACTACCTCTTCGCACTATTATTTTTTTTATTCGCTTCATACACATGACTTGTATGTGAAGTATGGTGTATTAATATATTATGTATGAGAACCATCGATGTATATGTTGATAAATCGGTAAACCATTTAATTTGAATAAACGTCAACATTTTAAGAGTTTATTCGGAAACAAACCTTTTACATCGAGATCCGATCTTGTCGTTAAATTTTGAGCATTTATTATACTTATTTACTTTGTATTATTAAAATTTAGGTAATTGATTATGTATTGATTTAATCAATTATAACAAAACAAAAATATTAATATACTCATAATAATTATATAATAAAAACCAACAAGCATTTTTAATTCACTCACAATAGTTTTTAAGTGTGATGAGTACGAACTGAATTATAATAAATAATAATCTCAATGGGCATTAATTCAAAACATTGTATTTTGAATTTAAGACGTGGTGAAAATGTTTGTTATTCATTACGTTGGATGATAATGGAATAGGAAATATTTCAAATAGTTTTTATTTCATAAACGGTTTTGAATAGTTTTAATCGTATTTCGAAATTCACAGATGTAAAGTATTTGTGTTCAACTGCAACGACCAAACAATGATTACACTGTCTGAACAATTGATAGATTTATTATAGTTCTTTGTTTTGTATCAGATAAACATGTCTTCTCTTTTAAACAAAACAGCCTCTGTAAAGAACAGTCAACTGAATCGTTTTTAAAAATGGTTAAATAAGAAGTATTATTTTCCTGTTATCATGCAACAAGAATAAATCGAGAATGATTAACCAAACGTTTTTGTATTTTATCATAAAAAGCACGTATACAAATATATTTAAAGTAGGTAGTATGTATTTTTAAATTTATATTTGTGAACTAAATGTTTAACCATGAGACATTAGAACGATAAATAAATGTTCTTAATTTTTAAATCGTTCGTAACGTTTTTTTTATCTTCTGTACGCATTGTGAGCACAATAAGATAATCAATGAATAAATTCCAAGAATCACGGAGCCTTATTGAGTTATTTATTTTATTCTTGCTAATGTACAAGCACAATGTTCTATAATAATAATAATAATATTCTGTTATTGAGTACATAATAGTCCATGTATAAACTTTTGTACTGGTTAGATTTTTACTATATATGGTAAAAAAGTTAACTTTGTGTCCATTGTACTCATATTATCTCAAAGGTTTTACAAACTATTATCAAGTTTAACATTTAAAAATGGGATTTCATCGAATCTGCACGGAGGGTGTCATTAGTTAATCCATCATACCACCAAGTCGAAGTTGTTTAGGTGTTTTTGTGTTTAGGTAAATCGAGATTGAGCTAGATAAATACTATTTTTTGTACAGAAAATATTTCCAATTTGAAGGGCCAAACAAAAATGGTTAAATATATAAACTGTCAGAACAATAATTGCAAATCTTAATGTTTTTAAATTAATAAATATGGTCTTAATTGATATTATTATATTTACAGATTAAATATGGTTTCATTGTATTTATCTAGTTCAATTTTTTTCCAATTTAAAAGAGTACCGTGGGATTTTACAGAAAGTCTTTAATAATTATAAAATTCTGGACTATTCAAGTTACAGATTAGGTATTGAGTAATTATACTTAAATAATTAATTATTTTTAATGTATATTTAAATGAAAATGTTTTGGAGTAATTATTGTGTCCACGATTAGCTTTATGTATAATGTACATGGTGATATACATGATGATGTACATTATGTATTGATTTGGTGTTAAATAATTAAGCAAAATGTAAAGTGTAAACATATTTTTAAATAATTTGATAAAACGAAGGAGTAATTAGGGTGACCATAGGTAAGCTGGCGGATCGATGGGCCGCTGTCGTTTGAGAGAAGGTATTAATTTTGAACAAAATATTAATAGTCTGTTTGGGTGACTATAATTTACACGGTTTGGGAGAGTAAAATTAGTTTTACCTGCGTAAAGTGAAAACCTGATGACTTTGATAAGAACGTTTTTAAAAATATGGTTCATTATTAATTATCTTTTTTCTATATTATGTACCTATATCGTATGTGATTTTGTTTTATTATTGTTGACTGCAATTAATACTGCATATTAAAATATTATTATAATACCAATACCTTTTTTTAAAATTAAAAGTTCATTGTTAATTGTTTATTATGTATTTTGTACGTGACTTTATTTTTTCAATAGACAGTGTACATTATAACTTAAATGTAACTACCTATAAACTTATTCATGGTACAACTTATTTTCTCAAAACGGTATTTTTTTTTGTGGAACAAACACTAGCTCAAGTATTCACCCGAACAGACCACAATTTGGGTCGATTCGCCCAAACGGTTACTCGCATCGATAGGTTGTTCTAAAACTACCTGTTCGTTTGCGGCGGGATCGACGAGTCCGATTGAATATACACAATATTTTAAGCGAATATTTAACAGTCGTGTTGATTAAACCTATTCATCTTCCACACGAAAAAAATATTTGCAATAGACAACGTATTGCGCTGTAGTTATTCGTTCATAACAGTTAAATCATAAATTCGGGTTTAAGTAATTTATAGAAAGTCCGCAATCAGCAGTTTTAAATAACAATATTTAAATGTAGATAATCAATGCATAACACTAGTACTCACGGATCTGAAAAATCCGTTTATGTTGCGCGGGTGAACGTCCACAATAATGTTGAAAATGTGTTTGTCTTTGATTTCTCTCATCACTTGCCTATGCGTGTGCTGATCCACTTGTCGGACGTAAAAGTCAGTTTTCGACATTTTCATTAGATTCTGTACCAGCAGCAAACCTATATATATATAAGTGAAACGCATTAAACGACAGTTTAGATTTTAGTTTGGAAAAATAAAAACCCGGGGCGTATCGAACGCAGCGGTATGGAAGTCGAACCTTTTCGCCAGGTCGTTAATCAAACCGTGTTTTTAATAAAGAACAACAATCGAAAGGAAACACCCCTCCCGCACAGCTCATCACGCCGTTTTGACGTGAAATTGCAATAACAACCGTGTAGTCAATTCGCCATCGACGACGTCCATCACACCCACTCGCTCAGAGTGCGCCTACTCCTGCAATAATATAATGCGACTACGGTTTTCATTACCTTCTTCGTCGTCGTACACGATCGCGATTTTCGTCCAGTTCAGGAAATTGATAAGGTCCCTGAACGCCTGTCCGAGGTGCCCTCGAGCCGGAAACATGTCCGTGACGAAGTGCCGTCTGTTCAGGTCCGTCACGCGGTCGGCGATGGTCAGCAGCAGAGGCATGCTGACGGACTCGCAGATGGACACTATGTGACTGGCCAAGTGACTGTCGGACGGTCCGAATATTGCGTGCACGCCACTCTCCAGTAAGCGGCAAACTGTAACAGAGAACAGGATATTATTATAATTACACGATGCGGGGCCGATCAAATAGAAATGGGGGTGGGGAAGGGGCAACGGGATAAATTAGGCCGTTGTAGAGACATTTCTAGGAGCCCCCAAAACATTCCCCAGATGGAATTGTATATAGATTAAAAATTAATTTTAATGTTAGTCAGACAATAATACTGTAATAGATAATGTCATCACGATTAGGATTACTTGGTGTAGGTATCGTTTCTAAAATATTTGTCTTTATGACATTTTAGTTGTAGGTCAATTTTATTTCATCTCTGTAGTTTGAAATTACTAATTATATTATAATATATACAGGTTACGTTTTTGGTCGTTTTAAATGATAATAACAAATTGTCTTATTATAAATGTTGCGGCGATGGAGTGCGAGGAACAGTAATAAAAATATTTAAATTTCTTTGTATAAATTCGTCATTACTAGTATAGTTATTACAAAGCAGAGTCAAAACTAAATAAATTGCTTGTTAGTATTTGTTACCTATCAACCATTATTGACTGTTCAATATTTTCGTTTTTGCTAATTAATTTTTTGTGATTAGTGCTACATGGCTATTATGTAGTTGCCTGTGTTATTACTTCAATAGGTGCTGTATAGACTTTAATGAAATCATGAATGACCTTGATTAGACTGCACATTTTCCGAAATATTGAAAATCTCATTGATTAGGTAGGTATTTTCTTATTATACTATCGAGTATAGCTTACGATTGATGGTCCCACTGATTATTTTGTCCCTGGCAAGGCTCGTAACTAAAACGGTTTAAAAGATAGGGAGGAGTCTCTAAAAAAACAAAGAAATTATTACACCTTTCTATTTTAGATTACGAAATTTTGAGTTCAAATTTATTTGATTGGTGGTTTAGACGATGGGGGGCCCTCGAGCCATCATAGTCCCCTCCCCTAAATCTGAACCTATCCCAATCCCTGAAAAAATTTTAGATGATATTAATAATTATAATTATATTCATGCTTACATTATCATCGAGTTATTATTATTATTGTTACATCATAATATTATTGTATTATTATTTACAGAAGCAGTTAGCACGCGTTTCATTGCATAATCTGCTGGTAGCGGACGCGTGCCCCGAGGGCCTTTCAATTCCCAAGGCCGTATCTGAGTATTTACCTTTGTTACATAGATACCCTCCACAATGCGATAGATGTAGGGGTGGGTTGTGGACACACAACGTGAGTATGCTGTTTCGAATTCTCGGAATACACGTGCGTGCTTAGGTTTTGGTGTTAAAAGGATTAATAATAAGTACATAGGTAATATTTAGTATTTAGCCGTACGTGCGGTATGCCTTATACCGGTGACTTAATTTCACATATTTTATGATCCTACGATGTCCTGTCAGGACGGCGGATAAAACAACGAATAACCTCGAATAAGTTCTTTTCCGATGCGTAGAAGAACCGTCACGGTGGCTTAGAAACTTACTGCCGAACGTAGGATCGCAAGTTTGCGCTGGATAAATGTTGGCTACATTTGTTTGGCCAAAAGCGAAACTTTTGAAAAAAATAAGACGCCAACGTTTAAAAAAAAACGGACATTAAAAGTTGCCGGAGATGACGTTTTCCGTTTGAGGTAGATAAAAGCTGGGAGTAGACTTATCCACGAATGATAATGATATGGGTTTTATTTAGACGTAAGAAGAATATTGGACTCTATGGTATTAGAGAGTTTTAAAGTTGAAATAAAACCCGTGAAATAAATTAAACCGAACTCGATTTAATTTGTTTTCTCAAGTATTGCTCATCTTATGATACAATCGTTTGGCTATTGTCCTAAACGCATTCAATTAAAGCGGCACGAGTCGTAAATGAGTGTATAAAGACAATCGTAAAAATAAAGAACGATATGACTTTACTACAACTAGGTTATATCATATTATTGTTATAACGTATAATAATAGTTATTTCCGTGAAGTTATCGTGCGATTTTTTCCTAGATTTTTATCCTTTACGGTGTTTTAACCTAAAGTTTGTATTTTTAAAACATCAATACGCCATAAATTTACATACCAACACGAGCAATAATCACATTCTGTCTTTCCGTACCGAGTTTTATGGAACCGAATGGATTTGCGAAATTTACAATTTACTCGTACTTATACTTGGAGCCTTAAATACGACATCCTAATATCGACCGAACCACACACACACACATACACACACATGCGCGCCTCCGGTACATCATATTATTACGTAAATGTATAGACACCACACGACTAGTACATTTTGAATTTGCAAACCTTTTTTTGGGATTTGCCCGGGTCGAAGTTTTAAATCAGTGAAAAACGTGTAGAGCATTGTAATCGCCCGATCGGCCAATTCCTTTTTTTTGCCGACATTATGAAGGTTCAAACTACTGCTGAATTTCTCGAAGAAATTCATGGCAAAGTTCTCCAGACTTATTTGTCCTTTCTCGACGTGCGTTGTTCCGAAAACTAGATTGCTTTATTTTATTCTTTTTGGGATACAATTCAATTTGTATTCCCTAACTGGATGACATAAACAAAAAAAAACAGAGGGGTACACGCAGTTTATCGATTTTAACCGAAGTATATGCGTTTTAAATATCCTCATCAGATATCCATGTGGTTTTGAAACGGTCGTCGAGAATCACCAACATAGTACGTTCAACTTTGGTTAATGATATAATATTCTTACGATACTACGATCACTGTTTATAGTATAGATATTAATTTATTCAATATGTGAATAAAAGTGATATTATTAAGATTTTACGGTTCTGTGTGTTTGGTTATAATTAAATGTATGATAGTATTATAAGTTACTAGTTACTACAGTAAGCGACAACGTTAAAAAAGTCTGGATTTTGGGTTTTTAAATCGAAACTGAGAAATGTTTATACATGATGTATATTTCTACGAAAAACACTAAAACATTATTTTTATTTATTCAAATAAAAGTTATTTATGTGTAGTACTATATTGTTATTTAAATTTAAATGAGTTTATTTGAAATACAAATAATATCTATCACTTTAAATACAAGATAATATGTTAATTTTTGTTGTCGTTCATGTTGAAAGTACATTATTATTTTGAACTTTCATTTTTTGTTTCAAATGGAATGCATAGATTCAGATGTCAAATTCGAAATTATTATGTTTCACCTTAATTGTTGGTGATTTTTTGATGGAAAAAAAATAAGTAATGTAAGGAGATCACAGAAAAACCAATTGAAAGTAAAAAAATAGTTATGATGTCTTGCACGATCAAAGTTATATTCATCAAAAAACTCCCTTAATAATTTATTATATGTTTGTATAGTTTTCAACAATACATTTTAAATAAAAAAAGTCATATTTTTTATCTTCTTTATTTCATCGCCAGATTTATTGACTTTTCTTTCTTAAATTTGTCAGTTTATTTATTTTTTTTGAACCATAGAAATTCGCTTGTTATATCAGAAAATACTAAGATATATTTAAAATATAAATTGCCTTATTTGCAATGAAACATTTCGTTGTTTACTATGTCACAATTTGGTTTTAACGAGATAAATAATATGTATTTAAAAATAATGTAAGCATATTATAGATTCAGAAATATTTTTTTTTACAATTTATAAATACAATAATTTTGTTTCTATCATATCATTCTTATCACTATAATAGTATAGCTCAGCGGTTCCCAGCCTTTTTAGCTGTGTGGACTACAAATTTTGTAAAAAATTCTTTGAGGCCCACAAATAGCTTATGCAAATGCTTACATGTATATATATATATATACAAACGTTAGTTGTTAGAACTAAAAAGAATTAAGAAATCTATTGTTTATCATGAAAAACACTTTATTAAACTTAACCACAAGTTAAACAATTTAATGTGATTTTTGACATTACTTGTCCTTCATGAGAGCATCAATATCGGGATGAAAACTAGATGGTTTTAGAATTAAATCACTTTCAACATTCTGTTATTCCTTTATTTAGCGTTAATTATATTCTAATTTGACACTACAGAGTGTAGATAATATTGATAAATATTATTATAACCAGAAATATTATTAGGTGTATACTAAAAATATATAATAATATTATTTTAAATAGATATAAAAATATTAAATATAATATATTTATATGGTTCACGGTCCAGTACCACATTGCTCGAGGCCCACAAGTGGGCTGCGGTCCATGGGTTGGGAACCGACGGTATAGCTAATAGGATTTTCATAATTTGTGACGTTTATTATGAAACAAACACGGTTAAATGACTTAAGTAAAATAAATAATTATATAATAAGCAGAAAATAATACTGCACATTCACACGCAGTATTACCACAGATTACATAAAACAGTTCGGTGCACTTCTGAATTTACTGATTACTCGAACCTACCTCAATGAAGTAGGATCACATAAATGAGAAATAATGTACAACATAATATATGCTATAATTATTGTATCAAATAATATGACAACAGTAAGGAGTTTGAAGTGAGTGATAAATATCAGTAGTTGATAAACAATTATTTCTCATAAATACTTATTTTCCCTATTCGTAGTCACACTGATTTAAGTTAGGTTTTGTTTTTTTACGTTTATGAGAATTACATGGGCCGTAACGTAATTGCGTGCACCATCTGGTATTATATAACCTGTGGTATTACAATAGTTTAACGAAAAAATTCTCTCTTTTAAAATACATTAATTATTGGAAAGTTGGCAAAGCCAGTCCAACACAAAGTTGACCTATTGAGTAATTAATACACAAAGGAGAAATAAGTGAATTTGCTGCAGGAACTGGAACCGAACCAAAAAGAACCTGTCCTGGAAACCAAAAACCCTTAGTTTATCTATGAGCGGAATCAAATTAAAATTTATTTTACAATGATTGTTAATTTGGTTTTTACTTCAGTGATCTATTTTCGGGCAAAAGTGCTTTGATAAACGAATATTATTTTTGCTTAGATTCGTTTATTTTTGAGGTA